AAGACTTAGAAAGGTTTAGTCACACAAGTTCCCATGGCTAAATTTCCATGTGCAGAGACAAATTACAGGGGCTTAGACAGGTTGAGTGGTTGTGTCCGTTAGCTTGAAAACATGGGGGACTAGATTGAGAAAATGAGTGGTGATTTATTTGAATCCCATAGACCTTGTGGCAATACCTTTAGCTGGGAATTTTTATTTTTTTTTTTAGGAGAGAGAAGGGTTCTTAAGCTGTCAGGAGGGTCTGGGTGAATGGATTAGTTTTGTTGCAGTGTGCAGTGATTCTTTTTTGTATTACAACCCATTATTGAGGAGATGAGACCCACCCATTACCTCAGGCTCCCTTCAGATGCCCAGGGATTTCATTTGTAACACATCAGACCTGCAGCACAGTGCAATGACAGATGACCCAACAGCATTAACAGTACTCCAATAGCATTTTTCTGTACCTACAGAACTCTTTGTTAGGAACATGCCAGGCCAGTGATTTATGGATGTTTTTATGGTCAGAATTCCAGGAACGCTTATCCTCTGGATCCCTTACTTTAGCTATAAACTAAAGCTTGGATAAGCCCTGTCTCTTCAAACAGATGTTGAGTAGCTGAAGTGCAGGAACCATACCATTTTGGCATCTCTCCAAGTGACTGTCACAGACCTAAGCACAAAGAGATTTTCTACAAGAATCCTTTTTCCTTTTGTATTAGTTCTGAAATGCTGCTGTACCTGATTGCTACAAATTGGCAGGCTTAAAACAAAATAAGTTGATTAACTAACAGGAAATCAATTCTAAAATTATTCTCATTGGGCTAAAATCAAGGTATTGGCAGGGTTAAATTCCATTTGGAAGTGTTAGGATGAAATCCATTTATTTACCTTTTCTAGTTTCTAGAAACCACCTGGATTCCTTGGCCTGTGGCCCCTCCCTTCAGACCCAACAATGGCTGATGGAGTCATTCTCATGTTTCAGGTGTCACATCTCCTTCCCTGGTTCTCATTTTCCTTTCTCCCTATTGTGTGGATAAGGACCTTTGTGAAGACATTGAAATCATTGAGATAATCCAGGAAAATCTCATCTCAAAAATTGGCATTCCTAAATCTATATACATCTTTAATTCCCTTTTACCACATAAACAAATATATTCACAGTTAAGAGGATAAGGATGTGTATATCCTTGGGAGAGGGGCTACATTCTGCCCCATAACATTTAAAATTCTTTGAAAAGTATTCAGAGATACAAAGAGACATAATACAAAAAATCCACATTTATTCTCTTCTCAACATTTAAAAAGAACTTTTTTAGTTGTAAATGGACATAATATCTTTGTAGATGAGCACAATAATTAAATATAATTTATTTATGTGGTGCTGAGGATCAAACCCAGTGCCTCATGCATGCCAGGCAAGTGCTCAACCACTGAGCTACAATTCCAGCCCTTTCCCAACTTTTTATTTAGTTGATTTTCAAGGATTATTCTGTGAGGGTGAGTAGTTTGGATATTATTTCATATAGTGAATACTAGTAAATTTTATTTCTTAGGTATTTCCATTTCTTGTTATATAAACATTATGATTATAAAGTGTTGTTTAACAGTTGTTTCATTGCTGAGCAAAGTTGTGCACATCAAAATACCAGCAACTCAGGAGGCTGAGGCAAAGGATGGCAAATTCAAACCCAGCCTTAGCAACTTAGCAAAAGCCCTAAGCAACTTAGTGAGATCTTGTCTCAAAAAAATTAAAAGGGCTGTGGATGTGGCTCACTGATTAAGTTCCCCTGGGTTCAATCCCCAGTACCTAAAACACAGGATTTTTTTTAAACCTTTTTAAAACATTAACAATGGTTAAAAGTGATATAAAATACTTATAAATAACAAGAAAAATTAAAAGGACATAAAAGAACCTAATATTCTGACATCTCTATGAACAAAAGAATTTCCTCTCAATTTTTTCAGAGCTTTAATTTTTAAGCCAGTAATCTATTAGAAACTCATACATACAAAAACACACACACCTACCATCCTTGGATTATAGTTTATGTTTAAGACAGACTATGTTATTGAACTCAAGGACACAGTTTTAAAGTAGCAACTGCTCTAATTTTATGCATTTTTGTAAGTATTTATAAGATTTAAAATGAAGACAGCAATTTTTTATTCCCTGATATCTCAGTAATAAAGTACCCAAATGCTATTTCTCATCAGTGCTATCACCTTACATTTATCTATTCCTAGAGCCTTGTTGGAATATTTTTAAAAAGTATATCAAACTCCTAGATGTAGAAAGTAAACTGGTGATTACCAGAGATGAGGAAAAGGGGAGATATTTCTCAAAGGGTTCAAAGTTTTAATTAGCAAGTTAGGTTGTAGTGATCTATTTCACAACATGGTTATTAGAGTTAATAATTAATTGGGATGGGGCTGTGGCTTAGTGGCAGAGTGCTTGTCTCGCATGTGCAGGGCCATGGGTTCCTTTCCAGCACCAGACAAAAAATGTTTATTTACAAATATCTAAAATTAAATGTTCTCACTATCAAAAAAATGTTATTTGAGGTAATGGATACATGAATGAGCCTGATTTCATCATTTTGCAATGTATATATGCATGGAAACATTACACTGAACAAAATAATATATACAATAATTATTCATTATTAATAATAAAATAAAACTTTAAAAATTGTACAATTCTATGGGGCTAGAGTTGTGGCTCAGTGGAATAGCACTTGCCACGTATGGGTGAGGCACTGGGTTCCATTCTCAGCACCACATATAAATAAATAAAATAAAGGTTCAAAACTAAAAATATTTTTAAAAAACCTGTACAATTCTAGCTAAAAGAAGTATTCTAATTATGGTTTAACTTTTCATTGTCAGTGTTTATGATCCTAGATCTGATTTGAGATTTTGAACACATGTATGTTGTATGAATAAATTTAATGCTCATTTTCAGCAGTAGTATACCACCTGAAATTTGTAGTACCTTGACTTAATATGGCTTTATTTCTGATTCACACCAAATCTAATATAGGTCTTCCTGGTTAGGATGCTGTCTTGGAAGAAACAACGCCCAGCCCTGAACTTTATGGTTGGGCTTCTTCCAGTACCTTATATTGTTCCATGTCTGCCCATGCAGATGAGTGAAAAAAGGGAGAACATGGAAGATTCCTTCAGGCATCTCATTTCCACTGCACTTCATTGACCAGAATTGGGTCATATAGTCCCAATTCAGCATGAGGGCAGACTGGAAAATATAGTTTTTCTCTATGACCCGGAGAAAAATGAAACTGTGTGGTAAACCTACAGTATTAGTCTGTGGCACATTTTGTGGAGAGAGTTTTCACGTTTTAGATTTGGGAGAGACCTTCTTGTCTGTATCTTATTTCATAGAATCAAGGAGTAAGACACAGTTGTAGTGCAGGCATTGCATGCAGATATAGAGTATCAGGCCAGTATCCTAATGCTCAGGATCTAGATAGCAAGTTGAGACTTTTTCAAGCATCATTTATTCTACTGTACTCTTTGGTGGAAAATGGAACCTCCTTAAAAGCACCTGGCATTTTGTGTTAATAAGTTTTCAATTTCTCTGGCAAAACACCTGAGAAAACCAACTGAGAGGAAGAAAGATTTATTCTGGTTATGGTTTCAGAGGCTTCAGTACATCGTCACTTGGCACCATTGATCCCTTGGCCTGTGGTGAGGCAGAACATCATCGTATGGAGAGTGTGGTGGAACAAAGCTACTCACCTTATGGCAGCTAGGAAGCAGAAAGAAAAAGAGACAGAGAGAGAGAGAGGGAGAAAGATAAAGAGGTTGGGGACATTGCAGATCCAAGCTATAATATATATCCCTGTAATGAAAATTGATTTTTGTGTGTGTATGTGGTGCTGGGGATTGAACCCAGGGCCTTGTGCATGCAACACAAGCACTCCACCAACTGAGCTATAACCTCAGCCCCCAAATTGATTTTTTAAGTTAAAGAATAAAGAAAGGTACAGATTTACAATTGCTGAGATAAATATATATGTAATTTCCTAATATTTTAATAGATATTAATTTTCAAGTTGTGGACTAGTGCATTATATTATTTTATGAGACTGAAAATTTATTGCTTATTAACAAGTTATTACTAACATTAAGTTGTATTTTTAGAAAATAGACATGAAATATACAATTAAAATACATAATATTCATACTTGGCTATACCTTCACAACTTGTCTAAGATTTCGGGGGAAATATCAGCTGTGTTCTGTATAACTAATATTTCTAAATCTTTTATTAGTATTCACATTAATGATAAGTGAATAAAAATAGATATTTTTTGAAATTGAAATGTTTCTACATTAAATTTGAGAATTTTGCTTTCTAGAGTATATTATTTTATAATGTCAGCTCTTGCAAGAATGTCATTACCATGTGGCTAGTTCATAATATACACACATTATACATGTAGAAAGATTTGGTTTACAGGGCTAGAAAGAGATAGCAAGCGGAGAATTACATCTGCAAAAACAAATCCTACAAGATTATTCCCTCTTCCTATTGAGGGGGTACCAAACTTCTCTGAATGGCTCTTGTGGGATGAATACTATTTCTCCATAACTACATTCCATTAGATCTGAGCCAGCCTCTACATGTTAATTTGAAAAATTCTTTGAGTGCTTAATTTCCCAAGGTCTTGTCAGAACTCTTCCTGTGGCCATGTGCCTCCTTGGCCAGTGATCTGTAACAGTCTAGTATTTGTCTTAGCTATATTGATAGAAATATAATGTATATGTTATACCATATCTAGGGTGTCTGGCCATTCTGGGATACTAGCTAATAACAATAATGGCAACAAAAAATTAATAACACCTAGTATTTATTGAGTTGTTTTGTACCAGTAAATTATTGACTGTATGCTAGGCACTGTAGTAAGTGGTTTGCATGCATAAATTCATTTAATCTCAAAACAAGTGTGTGTGTGTGTGTGTGTGTGTGTGTGTGTGTCTGTTTTTTTTTTCCACAGAAGCTTCCAGCAGATTCCCTGTAAAATTTCATTGATCAGAAATACATCATTTGCCCATGCCTAAACCAGTCATTGACCAAGAATATAACCAACTATTTTTGGCTTAAAGATCAATCAAAATTTACCACTTAAGTCACTTGGAGGAGGATAAATAAAACTTTGGCTGTACCAGAAAGAAAGAAAGAAGAGGCATGGTCATTGGGAAGGAAACCACCAGTATTTACCACAGTATCCAGGATGAAACCAAATTGGAGCAAATTAGGAGATATTATTCAAACACTAAACATCAAAATAAAAATAAAATTCAATTAGTATTTGTACCAGCTGCATTAATGTACATTATCTAAAAAGGCTACAAATTTTCTGGGTATCTATAATTAATTTTTTATTAATGGTTTTCAGTATGACTCCAGGCAAGTTAACTTGAGCATTTGGCATTTCTTCCCTGAATATGACAACTCAGTAATGAAACTTTTTTTAATTTGAGAAAGTAGAAGTGTCATTCTGAGCTCTGGCTTAGTCCATCCAGGATGTTCATAGATTGATCTACGAATATCACCAAGATCCTACAGGGTGGGGATAAATATATGAACAGTAACTGAAAGCATTTGAAAAACCTTTCAACTCTCTTATATCAAAGAATCAAAAAGCTTGATACCCACAGTCATTATTTGGACAATAATAAGTATATATTCATTGTACTGTCAAGGTTAGGGATACAGTCTTCTTCCTTTCTTCTTGTTTATAACCCTACATAGTCAACATTACAGCAGTTTTACCCTAATCTTCCCAGATTTCTGATACTACCACCATTTTACATAACTCAGGGGGTACTTGTGAAATTTGGCAATCTTATAGGTATCTCTCTCCTTCAGATAGACAGACAGATGGATAGACCTTTCCATATATAACATTCATTGTATTTGGAATTACAATCTATGTAAGTTTTACTGACTTTTTACATAGCATTATTCTCACCTTCTAATTATTAAATTTACCATAAGTCTTTCTGGACTTTATCTATGATTTGAGAGATTAATCCTGGAGCCAGTCCTGTATTTTCATTATTGCCTATCAATATTACCAGATTTCTCTTTCTCCATAAGTCCATCTTTCTTCCTCTTAGGCAACCAGTAAAGCCCAATAATCCATTTCTTTGTCTGGAAATGACAATTGAAAAGATTCATTTTGTCCCAAATATTGCAAACCCCTCCTATTCAGTACCTTGTGGATATTATAACAGTGTTCAATCATTCTACTTTGGAATCACCTTCCCAACTATTTCTCCAGAAATAGATGAAACTAATTTCATCATTTTCTAATCATACCTTGCATTTGACACACAGGATAATATACAGGTGGATCTTTTTTTTTTTAATTAGGCTTTGTTCCTAATAGACATGAAAAGCAGCCAATGAGTATTGAACATACTTTTTAATAAAGAATGTTGTAGGCTTTTTTCTATGGACTACTATGTTAAGAGAGTGATAGGGACTGAAATTTGTTCATTTTGAAAGGTCCATTTCAAATCCAGTCTCATCCAGTAAAGCTTTCCTTAATCATTGCTGGAAGTGAGCTCTCCTCCCTTGTCCAGTGGATTACTCAGAAGGCACTTAATTATCTTTATGCAACAATTTATAAAAAGGCAGAGCTAGTCATTGCCAGCTGACCTAAACATGCAGCTTGTGTGCTATTCAGCTCTCCACCTTTATCCTAAGCTGCAGCTGCAGAGGCAGAACTCACAGGAAATACACACACCCGTGTATGCCAGAAGCTATTTTATACAAGTGGGATTTTATAAATAACCACAAGCTCTTCTTATCTACCAAATCTCAACACCCCAGCTCTCCTGCATTCCCTGGAGAAGTGTGCACTTTCTAGAGGAGTGCCAGGAGAGAGAAAAGAAAGCCTTCTAGTTCACTCTTTTGAGTCTTTAACCCTGAGCTGCCAATGTTTGCATGTGCCATGACAGGTAACTCCAGATTACTGAATTCCTTATCTTAAAGAAGAAAAAAATTAGGATTGAGAATTCCTGTGTTGTGCTTTATCTGAATTTCCAGAAATAAAATGTTCTTCAGCAAGAAAAAGAAAGGTCATTGGACCACATTTATTATCACAGAAAGAAGATTGTAAGAAGAATTCTTAAGCACAGTGCTATTCAAACTAAATTCTGAGCAAGAATAACATTTTCTTCTTTATATTACCACATATTTAAAACACAGTCTTGAGCTTTTTGTTGGCAGAGCTGGAGGAGGAGAAGTGTGCCTTGTAATCTAAAGATAATGAATACTCAGATTGTGTACCACTTGGTTCTGACCCATCTGTTCTCTGTATATATGTACTGTGCTGTAATATACGGCTGACTCTTCAGGTTGAATCCCTCTGTGGCTATTTCTCAGACTCAGCTAGTTAAGTAGCTCTTAGTCTCTCCGGACCAAAGCCAACTTTCTGCAGCACCTCAGTTCTAACAGAGCTTTTAAAACCATCCTTCTCTTTTCCTTGGCTTTCAAAGACTCCAGTGATAAGCAGTTTACCCCAAAGTGAGCAAAGAAGGAAGATTTTCTCTGCAGAGAAGGGAGAAGTGGGTCTTTGTATTTTATATTTTTGGATGGAACTTTTATTGTTTTGTTGTTTGTTTTGTCCTCTTATTACTTTTTGTCTTGCAGTGCTTCATATGAAGACTCAAATTTACCTCAAAATCTTCTCTCTCAGGCCCTAACATGTACACCAAGGATCCTCTGTAGGCGAACTGCCTGACTCATTTGGAGAGGAGTTCTCAGGACTTTGAGAGCCTGATCCCTGGATACCAGCATCTTGGAAATAATGCTGAAAGGAAGTAGAAAGAAAGTTGCACTTTTCCATAATCATCACCATTATTGTTCCATAGCCCAGTCTTTCTCTCGAACTATTTGCTTGGAGCATCTTTAAGGAATGGAAAAGTATCTAAGGGTTTCTAATCTTGTTTCCTCAATATCTATTGTTCCACCTAATTTCTATCATCTGGGTTTTCTTTTCTTTTTCTTTTTCTTTCTTTCTTTCTTTCTTT